GACATATGAAACGTTGGTCAAAATAAAAAAAGTCTTCTAAAATCTAAATAACGAGTATAATGAGAATCTAAATAAATAGGACCCACTCTGGAATATGTTTTGAAACCATCAGTCAAATGACGGTTAAGAAGCTGGACCCCAGAAGCTAAAGCTCAACCTTGTCATCACAAAACTAGACGAATACATTTATATACCATATTCCATCTCGAGGCGACAGCTGGGAGCCAGGATTTAACGCCCCACCGGCCACGTGTTCCCCCACAAGCTTTATAGAGCGCCAGGATCGCTCAGTGTAGCGTGGTCTTGTGAGCCACAGTCTCTCAACACCTCGGAAGACAACCCACTTCACTATACCCTTATTTACACCCCCATGTACCTTCACTATACCCTTATTTGCAACCCCCATGTACCTTCACTATACCCTTATTTACACCCCCCATGAACCTTCACTATACCCTTATTTACACCCCCATGTACCTTCACTATATCATTTACACCCCATGTACCGTCACTATACCTCTATTTACCCCCTCCATGTACATGTTTATGTTAAAGCTTTGTCCGAGCTGCCTGTTGCAGCTGGTAACTTGCAGGAGGCCGGGTTCACCGAACAGTTACACGAGCACAGAGTAAACCTACCCTCCTTAATGCTGGGTATATGGCGAACCCGCAATACCTGGAAGTACCTGTAGAAGGTTTCCAGAATTGTTCTACTCTCCCCCCTCCCCCCCCCCCAGGCCGGCCAGGCTCGACTGGCAATATAGCAGAATTTACTGAAGGGTACCTTGCAGCAAACTGTTTACGAACGTAAACAGTTTGTTGCAAGACACCTCCGGAGTACTCCCGACTTTACGTACACTTGTGCACAAGTTTACGTAAACTTGACTTTAAAAAAAATCCAGTTTTCTCGACTACACAAAACAGGGGCCAGGTTCACGAAGCAGTTACGAACGTGTACATCTTTCCACAATCTTTGGTGGCTTTGATTACATTTATTAAACAGTTTACAAGCATGAAAACTTGCCAATCAACTGTTGTTATTGTTATAAACAGTCTCCTGGTGCTTCGGAGCTCATTAACTGTTTAATAATTACAAAGCCGCCAAAGATTGAGAAAAGATGTACAGGGTTCGTAACTGCTTGCGTAACTGCGTCGTGAATCTGGTCCCAGATCCGGAAACCAACCCCCGTCGTAGAGTTCCTTATGATACCAATATATGATCTACATGTCTATAGCTTGTATTATATATGTATGCCATGAAAAGTCAAATAAAAAACAAAAATCATAGCAAGTTGTTATTATTTCAGTGTTTATCAAGTAGACAAACACAGCTGAACATTAAATGTCAAACACGCTGGAGCCTGATAACGCCATCCGCCGTCCTCATGTAATACTGCTAATTATCAATTATCCGCTTCTCTCAATTTGCTATTAAATATGAACTTAAAAAAAATTATATATATATATATATATATATATATATATATATATATATATATATATACACACCAGAATTATAACATATTAAGTCAATAGAAACTTCAGCAGGATAACTTAGTACGGGCTCACCATAGCCCGTGCTACTTGGAACTTTGTTCTAGGTAGCGAATCTCAAACAACAACAACAAGGATAACTTAAGAAAAGCCTATGCATGTTACTAATTTGTTTCAACATTATTGTTTACTACTAAATGTTGTTCACTCATAAGGTTATCAATTAGCAATTATAGGCTTACATGTTCTATAATTAATGGCAAATTAAATACTGAAGACTAAGCCAATTCATTCTAACTAGGGAAAAAAAGTGTTTGGTTAAACTTTTTTAATATTTGCCACACTACAGTAGCCTATATACTTTCAAGTCTCTCTCCATACATGAGATATATTTAATATTTGCAATTGCTACATATCAACCCATTCTCCGGTTAAGATAGTTTTTGTAACTACGTACTTTTGTAACTTTTTGTAACTTTTGTAACTACATCATAGTACAAAGATTGAAGTTCTAAACAATTAGTAGAACTTTGTAATATTCACTTTAAAGTCGGAAAATGAAGCTATGAGGGAATGAAGAGGATATATTATTTATATATATATATATATATATATATATATATATATATATATATATATATATATATATATATATATATATATATATATATATATATATATATATATATATATATATATATATAAAATTTCAGGGCTCAGTGTATTTGCTAGGTGCGCTGAAGCCTACTCACCCTCCGGTATATTCTGTAATTGACAGATTCACTGACGGTGCTTTAAAGCTGCGTGTGCAGTCAGCAGGATAGAGATATCACAGTTAGTATGAATCTATCACATGTAACTCATGGCAAAATTTTCATGTTTTAACGACGATTTCTTGTGAGAGGCGATTTCACAAACTCATGAGATTGGTCAGTTGTGCACCCGAACCCGGCAGCGTGATTGGCTAAACGTCAAGATAAAACAACGTTAGCTTCACTCTGGTCGAGCAAAATCAGAGTGACCTCTGTGGAGACGCAAGATAACCAGAACCAAATCCTCAATAACTTCGCAAGAGCACCTTTCTGGATCTTGCATGGCGGTCATCTTGCCAAGTTCCCAGAACCTTCGCGACAAAGAAATTTAATTAGAAATACATAATGCCCAGTTAATCTCGCTTCCGGAGTACAGAAACCTCACCTCCATGGCGCCTTTGGGCTCACACTCTGGTAACGTCATTACTTTATTCTAGTTTGTGTTCTTAATGAACCAGGAAGGACAAAGCTTTCACCGTGGACCAGACAAGAGCCTCGCTCCTTCCCCCACCATCAACCACACAAAGAGACTCCCCTCTTTCCCCCCACCATGAATCAAAGACCCCCACCGCTTCCCCCACCATGGACCAGACAAAGAGACTCCCCTCTTTCCCCCCCACCATGAATCAAAGACCCCCACCATGGACCAGACAAGACGACCCACACGGTAAAATTAGACAAGAAAAGCTTATGGGAGACCTGAATCACGTGGCGGTTGCCTGAACCAATCAACTTGCTCCGTCAGGTGCTCATTTCTCCTCCTGGACGAGCGCCTGCCGACAGTCACAGAACCTTTCAAGAAATTAATTTTTATTTAGGTGGAATCGAACCTGGCCTTTCCCGTCTATAAGAAAAACAATGACCTCAGCCATTAAGCCACTCTGGCTATATGCAACAAATTCGCAGTAATAACATATATTCCTCTTTCACTAATGAACAGGCGTTAACAGATATCAATAAATGTAACGAAATGAAGTTTCCGTTGGTGACCGTTGGTGACCGTTGGAAGCCGTTGTAACCGTTAGGAGCCCAGCGTGTGGAAGCCCGTTTAATAATGCAATAACATCCTTCTGAACAATGTTTCTTTTAATTAAAGGTGTATCATTTACATGACAACAAATTGTAAATAGCAATATTTTGTTATTGTGGGTGGTGATGGTGATGGTGGTGGTGGTGGTGGTGGTGGTGGTGGTGGTGGTGGTGGTGGTGATGGTGGTGTCGATAATGATGTAGTTGTTAATGTTATTGATGAATACAACCAGAAATAATTGTCTACATAAAGCATTTTCTTGCCCCCACTGAACAACGGTTGGTAATAGACGAGCGTCCCAGACGTTGTCGTTAGGTCCCAGACGTTGTTGTCAGGTCCGGAAGGGAAGGGGAAGCGAACTATCAGAAAAAACGCCAAACCATTACGACTATAGCACTGGGAAGGGGTCAGGATAAGGATTTGGGATGGGACGGGGTGAAAGGAATGGTACCCAACTACTTTGGGACGGTCGGGGATTGAACGCCGACCAGCACAAAGCGAGACCGTCGCTCTACCGTCCAGCAGAACTGGTTGGGCTGTCAGGTCCGAAGGACTTCCCGAGATCAGAAAATTCTGTCGTCAGGTGACGGCGTCATCCCTAGTGATGTTATTCCTCACTGGTGACGTGGGAAGAGCCAGCGAGGCTGTCTATTCTCACCACAGAACACGGCGCAAGACCACGGTGGCGCCAGCCTCCAATTGTCCTGAAACCTTTCCTGGAACCCACCGACATGAAGACCTCCGGTGAGGGGAGGGAGGTGGGGGGCACACACCCACACACATCACCACCTTCCAGGAGGCATGGCAGCCCTCGGGGGCACTCTGTGACAGGGAACCCTCGAACATGGGCACTCCTCTCCCCCCCCCCCTGGCACGGTGACGGCACCCTGTCATCCACAAGCTGTCCTCTCACCTAATACGTCGTCCCATTTTTGGTACGGAATCTATCCGGCCACTAAAAATACGGCATTTATAAAAATAAAGAAAAAAGTAATATTGACGTTTTCAATGCCTCGACCTCGATAGGTTAGGTGGGTTGCCTGGGGTTCGAACGTTTCTGGTTATGTAAAATTGTTGCATAACACTAAATGACATTTGTGGGAACGCCAGGCACAGTGTCACACACCCGACACTAAGTTAACAAGCTCTGCACAAACCTGGCGCACTAGTTAACAAGCTCTGCACAAACCTGGCGCACTAGTTAACAAGCTCTGCACAAACCTGGCGCACTAGTTCACAAAAGGAATGCACTAGGAAGTGATGTGGTGGAGGTAGACTCCATTCACAGCTTCAAATGTAGATTTAATCGAGCCCAATAGGCTCAGGAACCAGTTGATTGTCACATCCCGTGTAACAAGAGAGCAGTACATAGTAGTACAACATGATCATCATAACAGCATGAACAAGCCACGTGGAGGATGAACAACCCACAGGCGCGGCGCCAGTCAGGCGGCGCCAGACAATGGAAAATTACACCTCTGTACTAGTTAACTGTAGGGACGGATTCTTCCTCCTCCTCCTCCTTCCCCCCCCCCCCCACACACACACACAACCAGTACTTGGGTCGCTACAAGACTTCAAAAAGAGTTGAGTTGTCTCTTTTGTCTTAAGAGTTGAGGAACACGCCTTACAGTGTTTGAAATAATATGAGACCTAGAGGCGACATGATCCAGACGTATAAGATGCTTATAAGGATGCCGACAAAATTTGACATGATCAGTGTGTTACGATTCAGTAACAACAGAACTAGAGGACATGGGTAAACACACACACACACACACACACACACACACACACACACACACACACACACACACACACACACACACACAATTTAGGCAATTAGGTAAGTACACACACACACACACACACACACACACACACACACAGAGGTGAGTACGTGCCCCGACACATGAGTAAGCAGGTGGTCAGTGAGGACACACCGAGGAGAAAGAATTAGAGATGTAACTAAGTCAATCCCGGCTCCGTCCATAATCTTATAAGCTAGTATGACGAGGAACAGTAAGTCAAGCATTGGTCAATGGCATCACACTACTGACAGTATGACAGTGACAAGAGCTGAAGCCTGACGCTGCATTACTACTGGGGTAGAGTAGGGAAATTCGAGAATGTCCAGAGGCTTGCTTAATTAAAAGGCCGGTACGCCCTCTCACTGCCCTCTACGAACTGTCGGGTAGTTTGACCCCTCTCAGCGCACCGTTCAAAACCCGGCGCCAGAATTATAATTATATAGTGATGTCACACGCCTTGTGTATACCATATATGAAACACAAAATTATCTCTCTCATTTTGGTTATGTCGGGCTAGGCTGGGTTGGGTTGGGTTGGGCTAGGCTGGGTTGGGTTGGGCTAGGCTGGGTTGGGTTAGGCTGGGCTGGGTTGGGTTAGGCTGGGCTGGGTTAGGCTGCACACACAGGTGTATCATTTTCAGTACCTCCGTGACCATTGAGAGCGAAGGTTCGCTTCTCGGTGGATTTGTGTTGTTTGACGGCTAAATAAGAATCTTATACATTTCCATATATTTTAAATAATAAGCCGACTATTATTGCAAGAATGTTGCGAGTTACTGCAATAGGTCACCGAGGAATGGAATGTTGGCTATATCTTCAAGTTGTTTAAGATCTTTCACCAGCTAGGATCATCAAGATCACAATACATCTCACCAACTAACAAACAGCCTTAAAAAACCCCGCACCTAGTTTACAAGAGTAACTCACAATGTAAAAACATTTTAAAAATGCACTTTTCATTATATATACGCCATTGACCCAGGCGGCGAGGCTTATCCTACAAGTTCAAGTATGTTTACCGAGACAAGAAAGAAATACATCTCAAAGGGATAGAGTAGCTCAGGCTATTTCTACCCCCCCTTGTCCTCCAAGCCCACGAAGGCCAGTGTGCGTGTATACACACAGTAGCACCTCCCCCTTCACCATCATTGCACGAACAAGGCATCAAAACAAAACAAAAAAATATTCCAATTACGTTAATCTGATGAACCCATGCCAGCTACAGCCCCATACCCCTCCCCCCATAACACTAAACATCACTGCCAGCAGGTAACCCTCGCCTGCTCTTGCTCACACTCCAGCCTCCACATACCAACTTTGAACATTACTGGAGTGACGTAAGACCAGTGAGGGGGGGTGAAGACGGGGGTGCCTCGCTGCTCTCATAGCTTCAACTGGGTAACTACGGGCTCACCATAGCCCGTGCTACCTGGAACTTTTTGTTCCGTGTAGCGAATCTTAAACAACAACATTCAACTGGGTGTAAAATACAAACAAACGAGACGCAGTACTCACCGGTTGGGCACCATTCCTTTCCCCCCGTCCCATCCCAAATTAAGGCGCGTCTGGTATCCTCTCGGACGGAGGTTCGAACCCTCGTCACGGCCCTTGTGGATTTGTTTTTATTCCTACCCCTTCCAAGTGCTACATGGCTTGGCGCTTTTTCCTGACTGTTCCTTTCACCCCCCCCCCCCAGCTACTCAGATATTGTACACAACACAAACACCCTTTATGCCACTCCTTGTTTGGTTGATTGTTCTATAAATCACCGAATTATATGTTTAACAAATCTCTAACCCTGTCCACGGAGGACAGAAGAAAATGTACATGTTGGTTAGCATTGCAAATGTGTGGCCACGTCTGTGGTAGGAACAAAACTCCTTGTTTCAGTGTTTCACTTCCCGCTCTGCTGGCTTGTCTTCACTGCTGTCTTCAAAAGAAAGAGAAGAATGAAAGAGGAGAGACGAGGAAGGACAGAAAGAGGAGTCCATTAGAGGAGAAAGAGGAGGATACATGTCCATTACAATCCGGATCCCCATGTTCCGCTACCATACATCCTAAATAGTTTCCATAATTGCCCTGTATATGCCCCCTGAGAATTTTGTATGTCGTAATCATGTCTCCCCCTAAATATTAAACGATTAATCTGATTCGATTTCGAGTATAGGAAGAATCGTACATTTTTCCGTAATCGGAATCGAGTTAAATTTACCATGATTTCCGATTCTTAAAACGATTCTTCAACATTTAATGAAGTAAATTGTTAGTTTCAGGTAATAATGAAAAAAATTATTATTAACAATAAAGTCTTGTATTCTTAAAATTTCATTGTAATATGGCGATGTAATTTTATTTGGACAAAAAATTGTATTATACTGTATATTGAACACCAAACATGGAGCCTTGATTGTTACTGGAATGTTGTGATTGTTACTGGAATGTTGTGATTGTTACTGGAATGTTGTGATTGTTACTGGAATGTTGTGATTGTTACTGGAATGTTGTGATTGTTGTTTATTGTCTTGGGTTTTGTAGATTAAGGATTCATATTTGAGTAAAAAAAATTAGCTACGCTTTAATTGAGTGTGTTGCAATATTACATTAAAACAAAAATCACGAATTGTATTTTATTGTATAGTTCACAATTAAAACGTGTATAATGAAATGTTTTCAATCAGGGTATTCACTCGGGTTGATCAGCAACAACCTGTTATATTAATACATTAATCACGCTCATAATGTAAATCATTATTTTGTGCAAATTAAAACACGAAAATTGTCAGAAAAATAAGTATCTTTCTATATTAACAAGAATATATTATAAATGTATCCAGCTACATTTATAAAGTAAATAATAATATATTTATATAGTATAAATCTGAATCGAGACTTTTGAGTGGAAATCAACATCGGAATCGTTAGCAATTTTACTATCAGTCTCATCACTACTAAATATTCTGTACCCAACCACTCGGGCTGGACGGTAGAGTGACGGTTTCGCTTCATGCAGGTCGGCGTTCAATCCCCGACCGTCCAAGTGGTTGGGCACCATTCCTTTCCCCCCGTCCCATTCTAAATCCTTATCCTGACCCCTTCCCAGTGCTATATAGTCATAATACCTGGTTGATGGGGTTCTGTGAGTTCTTCTACTCCCCAAGCCCGGCCCGAGGCATGAGTTTGGTTCACTAGGGGTGATGCTTGGAGCGGCTTGTCACTTTCCCCTTGATAGTTCCCCCTTCCCTTCTCCCAATGACGTGAGATTTAATTTCTTCACTATCTTCGTAACCTCTTTAGTCCAGAATTAGTTACATTTATTGGTTACATTCCTGTGCACTTTCCTCAACCTGTTTTGATTGACTAGATAAACACACCACGCTGGCGTTGCATATTTCACAACTCGTCTGACATACGTCGTATATAAGGATCTCAATGCTTCCCTTTTCAGATTTCGAAAGGCACTTGAACGCACGGATTTCACGATCCCCCAGTTATAATAAGCCGCTTATTGCATACATTTTGTATTATAATAGTGACCGATGACCTTATAATGGTGACCGGTGACCTTATAATGGTGACCGGTGACCTTATAATGGTGACCTGGCCCGTTCACAACAACAAGAGAATAAAAACGGCCACAATATAACAGTGGCACTCACGATAACCTGTAACAGTGAACTTCAACTCTTCAAGTTATACTTAATAGTAAAGAATGTCAGGTCTTCACTTTAATGTAAAGTTCATGGGAATATACAAGAATACCAGGAGTGCCCTTTACATTATGGCTCAGGAAAATTAAAACGATTAAAAGTTTTCCCCAAAACTTAGCAAGTTGTCGAGTCACACGTACGAGAAGCCTCGCCCTGGAAGCCGAACGAGAAGCCTCGCCCTGGAAGCCGAACCGAGAAGCCTCGCCCTGGAAGCCGAACCGAGAAGCCTCGCCCTGGAAGCCGAACCGAGAAGCCTCGCCCTGGAAGCCGAACCGAGAAGCCTCGCCCTGGAAGCCGAACGAGAAGCCTCGCCCTGGAAGCCGAACGAGAAGCCTCGCCCTGGAAGCCGAACGAGAAGCCTCGCCCTGGAAGCCGAACGAGAAGCCTCGCCCTGGAAGCCGAACGAGAAGCCTCGCCCTGGAAGCCGAACGAGAAGCCTCGCCCTGGAAGCCGAACGAGAAGCCTCGCCCTGGAAGCCGAACGAGAAGCCTCGCCCTGGAAGCCGAACGAGAAGCCTCGCCCTGGAAGCCGAACGAGAAGCCTCGCCCTGGAAGCCGAACGAGAAGCCTCGCCCTGGAAGCCGAACGAGAAGCCTCGCCCTGGAAGCCGAACGAGAAGCCTCGCCCTGGAAGCCGAACGAGAAGCCTCGCCCTGGAAGCCGAACGAGAAGCCTCGCCCTGGAAGCCGAACGAGAAGCCTCGCCCTGGAAGCCGAACGAGAAGCCTCGCCCTGGAAGCCGAACGAGAAGCCTCGCCCTGGAAGCCGAACGAGAAGCCTCGCCCTGGAAGCCGAACGAGAAGCCTCGCCCTGGAAGCCGAACGAGAAGCCTCGCCCTGGAAGCCGAACGAGAAGCCTCGCCCTGGAAGCCGAACGAGAAGCCTCGCCCTGGAAGCCGAACGAGAAGCCTCGCCCTGGAAGCCGAACGAGAAGCCTCGCCCTGGAAGCCGAACGAGAAGCCTCGCCCTGGAAGCCGAACGAGAAGCCTCGCCCTGGAAGCCGAACGAGAAGCCTCGCCCTGGAAGCCGAACGAGAAGCCTCGCCCTGGAAGCCGAACGAGAAGCCTCGCCCTGGAAGCCGAACGAGAAGCCTCGCCCTGGAAGCCGAACGAGAAGCCTCGCCCTGGAAGCCGAACGAGAAGCCTCGCCCT